GATACATCGCGTCTCGATTTCGAATACATCAACGTCTTGGTACATTGCGTCTCTGTTTCGGATACATCAACATCTTGGTACATTGCGTCTCTGTTTCGGATACATCAACGTCCTAGACTCCTGGTACATTGTGTCTTTGTTTCGGATACACCACTCAACATCCCAATACATCGTGTATGTTCGGATACATCCCAAAATGTCCTAATACATCACATTCCGATTTCGGATACATTCCGATACATCAGGTCTCGATTTCGGATATATCTCTCAACGTCTCAATACATGAGGTAAAGTGAAATTGAGACCCTTCTACCCTTGCTCGGATAATAGTAACTCCAAAACAACCAAATCCGAAGTACCCTGAATTAACTAAGTAGCACCTTTTTAAGGTCACATTTTAAACTACTTTTAAGATATTCCATTTGTTTTCTCCTCATTGCACTCTAGAAACTAGAAAAAAAGAAGTAAAAAGTAAAGAAAAAGGATTGTTTTTTTTTAGGGGGTGGGGGTGGGTGGGTGGAGAATGGGGTTGGGTGGGTGGAGAATGGGGTTGGGGTGAGATGTTGCCCAAAGTGGTTAAATATGTAATAGTGAAATGAATTTTTCACCATGTTCCATAGAGAATATGGCTATCTACTGAGTTCTTAGGCAGTCAAACTGAGCAGTAATTTTTTCCCTGTATTTCTTTTTTTGGGGATTTTTTTTTTCACCTTGTCCGTTCTAAATACACCTCTCTACCCTTTGGAATCACAAGAATATATAAATTGTATGGCTAAAAATATTTACTAGTATTATTTGCTTTGGGTACTTTGATTTTTTATTCAATAACTAATTTGCTTTTGATACTTTGATTTTTTATTCTATTTGATTAGATACAAAATTTATAATATATTTTGGCGATAGTACTAAAGTGTCAATGTAATGATTGAAAAGTTAATTTAATCACAAATATCATGTCAAAGTTAAAGATATTATAATTAAACTATGAATTTGACTTGTATAAAGATATTAGTGATGACGGAAAGGGTCAGTAAAATAGTTGTTAGAAAAGAAAGGAAGTATTACGCCAAACCTAAATTATGAATATTTAAAGGTTAAGTTTTAGGTAATAGACATGTCAGTATCACTCTTTTACATCATCGGCAGGTCATCTTTTAACTATTATAATGATAATGAGTATCATAGTAATTCATTACTAATATTTTTTTTTTTATAACATGGACATATAAAAAAAGTTATTTATATTGATCAAGCATACACGACTATATTAAAGAAGAATAGTGAGTTTATTATTATTGTTGACTGGTGATTTTTTATTAAAAAAAATGTATTTGAAAATTTATAATAAAATGTAGTCGTAAACATTTATAAGCTATGATTTACTTATTTGATAATATTTTGTAAGAGTTGGAAAAGTTTTCATAAGTTATGAGAATTTATGTTAACGATAAAAATAATTTAAGAAATTCAAATTACATGTCCAAATAAAATTTCAACTTTCAATCAACATTATTTCAAATCATTGAATTTCATAAACAGTCTTTCTACCTTGAAGTGGTAAGGTTTGCATATAATCTATCGTTCCAAACCCAGTTTATGAGATTTCACTTGATAAGTTATTGTTGTTGTTATAATCATGTTTAAACTATCTATGAGAAAAACTAGGTAAGGCTCGAGGGGTCACCTGAACTCTCTTTGGCAAAAAATTAAATTTTATACATGATTAAATGTAATATTATAAATATTTTATGTATATATAGTAGAAATTGTAACTTATTTTAAAATTATTTGTATTTATTTATTTTTCATATTTTGAACTTCCTAGTTAAAAAATATTGTCTCTCCCATTGGTCTTGAAATTTAAAAATAGTTAAAAACGAGGGAGCACTATTTATTGGTACCTTTAAAAGAGTCAAAGACGCTCTCAAACTCACAGCATACCAAATTCCCTAAAACTGATTCTCCCTCACTCTTTTTAATTTCTTTTCAAATACTATTTTTATATGCATATATATAAAAATATATGTGTATATATATCTACTATTTTTACAAAACTTTTATGTATCTATACATTTTAATTTTTTTTAAGTAATTGTTAATCATCATTTGATATTTGTAATTTTCATGAAAGAAACTAAAAGAAGTATGGAGGATATTTACCCTGCATCTCCGGTAGCAGTTGCACGTAACAAGAGTACTGGCAACGTGATGAGTAGTACCAGTACTCCTTCAAGAAACTGCTCAATAACCGCCGTGAAAAACCACCGCCACATGGCTACCGTCGTCGACGACGATAACGACGGCGACGGCGACCCGATTGAATGTACGGGGAAATCGTGCAAGTCATGTACAGCTGGAGTTGTAGCCGATTGCGTTGCATTATGCTGCTGCCCCTGCGCCGTGATTGATATTTTAGCACTGGCGTTTCTCAGGATCCCGTGGATGATGGGGAGAAAATATTTGGGGAAAAGTAAAAAATCGGAAAAAAAGAAGAAGAATAAGAATAAGAAGAAGAAGGAAGAAGAAATGGAGAAGAGTTACAGTTATCGTGATTGCGTTACGTATGAATTGGACAGTATAGATGGAAGAATTTCAACAAGATCAGTTAAAGATGAAGAAATCGTTAAAGGAAATTTGAAGAAATCATTGGGAATTGTAATTGGGGAAGAAGACAAAAACAATACTAGTGCTAAGTTTGATGTAGAACAATTTTGGTTAGATTTGTATGAACAAGTTGGTCATTTGGGATTTGGCAGAGTTTCTTACACTGGAATCCCTTCTCAAGGTAATACTGGGTAACTTTTTTATTTCTTCAAGCATTCAGTGTTTGAAATTTGCACGGTTAAAAAGTTCAGTATACAAAGTACAACTTTATTCTCAGAGTTCGAACCTGAGACTCCATTGTATCTCCAATGTCTACAGCATTGTTCAGAAATGGGAGAATCATGAACAGTGAAAAGGAAAAAGAGCAATATAGCAGGATCAGTATTATTAGAATTAGAATATTTTGGGGTTTTCAACTGTAAAAAACCACCAATTTGTATCTTGTATTTGTGAATTGTACAGTTTATTGTATGTTCTTTTTCTTTTATCACAGTGCTATTTTGTTGCCTTGTTCTTTATATCTAAAGTTTTCTTTTGATTATTTCAGAAAAGATAGGGTATAATAAAACTATCTATTTAAATCATATGCATAAATTTGCCTTTTTTAAGATAACCTATCTTTGTTTTGTTCTTAAATATTAGTTACTAGTACTTCTGTTTTTAAAATGAAGGGAAGTTTCTTCTCCATATTTGCTTAATGATTCCCCAGTTTGCATATTAGCATCAACTTAATGTAACAAATTAGATATGAATTGATTGGCATTTGGGCCCAAGGGTGGGGATGGAACAGTTGCACAACATGATTATGTTTATGTTATAGGACACTGCAAGATAAAATATGATGTTTTCTTCCTACGATCTATGTTGTTGCTTCGTTAAGAAAGAATATGCAATCTGTTGAGTTACTACAAAGAAATAACTACTACTACTAGAATGACAAACTGCAAATAACTTCGAAAAAGAACCACATGAAAATATGGCAAAAGGGCCTCCCTTTTCCACCTAACTCCACAAAAGAGGCCCAAACTCGTAATTGACAACAATAAAATGCCGAATAGATATCATATTGCAACATTATCTCTACAGAATTTGCAATCAATATAATTAAAACTTGTAAATCTATTGGCAATGGATTGCACCTAGCTACCAACCCAATCAATCAATATAATAACAAATCTTGACTCATAGTATTATAGCAGACGTGTGGTCCTCTTACATTATTAGTGCTAAAATTGCTTTTTTATTTAAGCACGGAGAGACAAGAGAATCCTAATAACAAATTGTGTTTTTATCAGGATAAAGTTTGTTTTTTTTATTTTCCAGATCATTCTTCTTTTCATTGTATTTTCATGTTTGTTCTTGATATATAATGTCATTGAAAGGACAACCCAATAATTAAGTGGTCATAATTAATCCGAAATAGTAAATGCCATGATATTGAATATTAAGCGTTCTATTCATTTTTGGTTCTACTCGACCTTCCTTGCACCCTTGTAAACAATTGTGGAAAAAATAAATAATAACCATTATTCTTTTGGAAAAATAACGTAGTTAATTCGAAATGGTAATAATAGATATTATTACAACAATTATAGTTCTGGAACTTCAATAAATGGAAATAATAATAGTAATAAATATTCTTCAAACATGTTTTGAAACTTACTACAATTCACTTTGTGCAAATCCTGAAATAATCTTTTCTAAAATGTCAGATAGCTCGTTTAATGGAAACTGGGGTGATATCCAAATCAAGAGTTGCATAGCTTGTTTACAGCCTTATAGCTCCAATCACTGTTTGGAAAAGATTATGAGCCATTATTATGTCAAACTTACTGAATGTACTCTTTGACTCCCTCAAAATGACTTAACTGTAATTGATGTATTCTTAACTGTTTGGACAACACGTTTCTTCGCTATCTGTGCTTCGATATCATGGTTAGCAGAACTTTGAGACTGTTCTTGGCTTAGCACAGATGCAGCTTATCACAGACATTCATTGGCACCCGGAAGGTACATTCCGAGGTAACTGATGATTCATTTTTTTTATAAAAATAGAATGTGTGCACTCTGCCATTGATATAGAGACTAAACTTCTGCAGTCACGTGACAATACCAAGTTCACAAGGCTATCGTATCCATAAACAAGCCAATATCAGAATGAATTAACTCTGAATGTGCAAATAAGAGACTCAGAAAATGACACAGAAAACGTGTATCCCTGCATTCAACAAGCAATACAAGTTACCACCTCTATAAGTGCAGTTCAGGATCTTTTAACGAAGATGCCTTGACAAATGACAAGAATGTTCATCAATGCAAAACGTAAACACATTTTTACTTCCCTTTTAGTTTTGGTTGGTGAGGGGATGGTTGCAGATTCAGCTAACTCTAACACCAAACTAATCAAAGTAATTGCAACTTTATAATAACTTGAGCAAATCAATTGTACAGAGCTAGCATCCTATGCTCCTACTTCATACATGAACCTAATACAAGTTGCACTCAGTATCCTAATCAACATAAGCTGGACAATATACTAACACTATCAACAAAAGGAGAACACATCAAGTTGAAGCAACCAGCTTCAGGGATCCCCTATGTGTTTGTTGAAGTCACTGCACTTACCTTCTCCAGCAAGCCTTTTATCTCATTCTCCAACTCTGATTTCTCCTCGCTTGTAATCTTATCCTTACACTTATCCAATATTGATGCCATCCCCTTCAGCTTCTGCTTGATTAGTTGTACCTGTGACTTCCCCTTACGAGCTTTCAGCGAGGATAGTGGACTCTCAGATTTGGAGGAATAGCTGAGCGTAAAGTTCACATTAGCAGCACCAAAAGGACTTTGCCTTACTGATTCTTTGAAGGCCTGTGCAGCATCTGAACCACGCCTGTAGACAATTCGAACAGAGTTCAAATCACATAGCACTTTTGTTTCCTCTTCATTCAGCTCTCCAAACTTGTTATATAGTCGAATGATTTCATCCTCTGATGGCAAAGAAAAACCAGTTAAAAATGTCACCAACAGAATCACAGATGAAGCTTCTCTACCATCATCCTCATCTTCTTTTCCCTGACTAGAAGGACCAGATTCTTTTTTGAGTTTGGTAACTTCTGATTTCGCATGATTTGTCTTCCTCTTCTTTGAACGAACGGAGTCTGGTGATTTAGAATCACTCTGGGAAATTACATTTCCTGATCCCACAGATTTTCTCTTCTTTCCTGTTTCCACTTGGTGATACTGCTTGTAGTTTGATCCATCAAAATATACTGAGTTTCTGAAAGTGGAAATGAAACCTCTGGCCTTCTCAAGAGATTCATTCCTCAATAAAAGAGGGTTTAGAGCAGTAGACTGAACCTCGGACAGTACTTCATCCACAGATGAATTGATAGCCATGGTATCAAAAGTCTTAGAGCTTCGCTTTCTGATCCGAGAACTCTTGTCAATGTCATCCTTGAAAGCCTCATTCCCATTTGCATCAGGAGAAGACAAAAGAAGACGAGCAGCCTTTGTCATCCTCTCACCAATCTTGGAAATATCAGAAAATTTCTGAGATTCTATTTCCAGTTCTCTCTTAAAGCTTGATTTTCCTGCCTTCCACTTAGGGCTTGTATAAGGAGGTGACAAATACTTGCTCTTCTTTCTTTCCCTTGATAAAGGGCCCGCATTCATGTCTTGCTGGTCGCCAAGTTCATCACGCTCAGGAATTGAAACACTAAGTTTCTTTGTTTTCACCAAGTCACTGTCACCAGACTTCTTGCTGACCCTCTTACCAATTTTTTCATCAACACTCTTCGAGCTGCCAGTGTGACCTTTGGCTTTCTCACCAGACTTCTTCCTTTTCTTCTCGGATGTTTCTATAGACGAAGGTGTAGAATCGTCTTCAGTTGTCTTCTTACCTTTGGGCTTGGCGTTCTCTCCCATAAGTTCAGCCACACTTTTCTGCTTCCTCTTCTGATAAATCTTGTCGCAAGCAGTCATAGGAAACTTTGAAGATCCAGAATTAGGAATTTCTTCTTCTGATGGACCCTGAATAGGAACCTCAATGGGTATGCTGAAGTCATTTGCATCAATGACTTGATCTTCCTTCTTGTCCTCAAGGCCTTCAACTAGCAGGGGTTCACAATATGAAGCCAAAGGGTGTCCATACTTAGCACGATAAAAAGCAGATAGCCAACTCTTCAAGACAGCAAACTCAAGTATATTGGAATTAGAATTGGTTAGTGCGTTACGTTTTAGACCTTTAAGTCTTTCCGCAGGTTCAAACTGAGAAAGTAAAAGACTGACAGTTTCTGAAACAGGCACTTTAACACCCTTTTTGATTCCAGCATTCACAGCCAATGGCCAACAAAGTCCAGTACGACTCTCTTCAGAGATGCATTGGCAGGTCATTTGAAACTCCACAAGCACACTAATTTCATCCAAGGTCTTTTCAACAGCATATAAGAAACTCTTGGAAGTGCTCTGTTTTGACATTTTTTCAAAGTTGTCAACAAAAGGCAACAACTGCGAAGGGGGGCACCAAGAAAATGACCCATCTCCAAAGTATGCCACTAGCAATCGACCTGTTTGATTATACTTCATAGCAAAGTCTGAGGCAGCGGAAGCATTGTAAACACGCCCTGGCCACCACGGATGACTCTTAATCTTGCCCCACACAAAGTCACCAACTGCATAAACATGTTTTACACTCGTTGTATCTTCCCCAGAGTTATCCTCTGCAGTTTCTCCATCAACAGCATCAACCATCTCATCATCAGAACCACCAGCTACATTCTCCTTTCCGTTCATTTCCTCAACCAAATGTCCAGGCCCTTGATCTGCTTCAGCCCCTTGACTAGCAAGCTCTCCCCCACTCACATTATCCAGTGAACCATGACCTTCCACCACATCACCATCGGCATCATTTCCCACTTCCGAGGTCTCCTCAGTAGCAACAACTGGCTCGCTAATAGCACCAGTATCCACATTTCCATTATCACCAGAAACCCTAGGCACCTCATCAAGCAACCCAGGTCCAGAATCAGTCATTAGGGTTTCAGAGTCTAATGCTTCAGCAGACAACCCAGCTAGATTTTTGCTCTTCTCTGTGTTTTCGTCACTCGACATACCCAAAGAAAAGGTTACAAAACTCAATCACTTCAGTTCTATACCGATTCAAATCTGCAACAAGAAAAAAATAATCAAAACACCCCAGCTCAGAAAAAGTCCCCAAAAAAAAAAAAAAAACATAATCAGAAACACAGAGATAAACTACCACAAATATTCAACCTTTCTATAAACCTAGGGTTTGGGGTTCCATTTCTAGACCTTAAAATCATATATACAAAAACTATAACAGGTAAAAAAATAAATGAGAAACATAAACAGAGAAAGGGAACAAACCAAAATCGACCAGAGTTTGCAAACTTCTGGAGAAATCGACGTGCCACTTCTGTTCGTTAAGAGAGAGAGAGAGTAAATGAGCTTGTAGAAACAGCAAGGAGTTTTGGCTTTTGAGTTTTGGACAAAAATATATTTTCGTACACTTCGCTTATTTTGCGTTTTTATCAGTCAAAACAGAGCTTGGACGGTTGAGATGAAAGATGCCTTAAAAATATTTGAGAACGGTTCATTAACTCTCTGAAATGAAAGAAAGAGTTGGACGGTTGAGATGTAATATGAGAAATGAAAGAAAGAGTTGGACGGTTGAGATGTAATGTGAGAAATGAAAGGCTTCCAACGATGAAGGCGGTAAATTTTGGGGATCTTCCTTGAAATTTGAATCATCCATCATTTACCGCTCTCTTTCCCTCTTTTTTTTTTGGGTTCCATTTGTGTATGGGAGAAAGATCAGTGTTCAAGACGAATCAGATTGTAATACGTGTAAAATTAAAATCGAGAAAATGCTTGTTATAATTTGTGCCTTTGTGGAATTGGGAAGGATCGCTCGTTGAGATCTGAGGTGATTTAATATTTGCGCATATAAAGTTATTTTGTGATTGGACAACTAATAGGACCTTTTCCCGAAGAACCCACCTTAGAACTGGACATCCTTATGACATTTTTGTGGAGATCAACAATCAATCTTGAGTTGTATCTCACCTATCCCAATCAGCCTCAAGTGAAGTTTCAAAACATTGGCACTTGCTACTAATTATTAGTCCTTTCGATGCTAAACGCGTAGTCATTTAACGTTGAAGGAAAGTTCGATTTTTGTGACTGAAAACACTTTAAAAGACATCAAAAAAACTTTAGAAAGCGACTAGTCCTTTTGTCTTCTTAGCTTAGAATATTCACAAAAAAAAACTTTCGACCTTCATGATTTATATTCTTGTATTAACCCTATGCCTTGGTCTTTTAGCATATGTTTTGGTTTCAATTATCTCGTTGCTGAATTATGAACCTTCTTGTATAGCCCTATTCGAAGAGTATCAATGACTACGTTTTATCCTTAAAATCAAATATTTGATACAATTTAATATAATATTTATAAATTTCAAGAATTTAAATACAGTAGAAGAATACACTAACCAGTCTTATATAATATGGACTAAGTTATAGATACAAAGTCATTTAAAAATAATTAAACCCTATATACACAATGAAAATTCCGTATAAATATTTATATCTTTTCAGATTTCAATTGTATAAGGTGTCAAGCGCCTAGTTCTAAAAAATACATAAATTAATTAATTTTAACTCATGAAATTAAAAGAAGAAATATAAGGAACATATTTACGCTGATCATATAAAAAATTTCAAGTTGACTTTTTTATTGGTTCAATTCATTTACCAACAAATAAATTTCCTATATTCCAAAACCAAAACCTTTTGTTTGGTAGAGTGTATTAGTTAAATTAATACATGCATTAGCTTTATATATTAGAAGTACCTTGTTTGGTGCACTATGCTATTAGTTATATGTACACTCTACTGTGTATTGAGGAGTGTATTACTAACACCATGGATTTATGGGTATTAGTAATGCAAAAGGATTTAATAAATGCATTAGCATTTTAAAAACACAACTACCCTTCAAAATCCCCTTTACATCTTTTTTATCATAATTGTGGAGGATATTTTTGTACAATGCATGTTATTTTTAATAGACCAAACCAAACAATGAATAAGAAAGAATTTATGCATTACTAATGCAAGCATTGTTAATACACTCTATAAAGCATTATTTTTATACACTCTAGCAAACCACTCCTAAGCATCTCATATAATGAAACTATAATGCAACAAATATGTATTATCTCATATAATGAAACTATAATGCAACAAATATGTATTATCTCATATAATGAAACTATAATGCAACAAATATGTATTGATAAATTAGAAGTGTTTATCAATGAAAGAATGATTCCAGGAGCTGCATTCAATAGAAACAGTGGACAGAAAATGTGTATACTTTCTCCACTGGTAAGTAATTTAAGAACTTCAGAAGTTGAATTCCGAAATTTTCAAGAATTTGAAAAACATAAAAAAAAAAAAAAAAAAAAACTATCCTCACAATTTTTCTAAAACAATCCAATTATTCAAATATTATTTTTCACTTTGAAAACAAAAATCACTTTTCATATACTCGCAATTTTCACGACCAAATATCCCTGAAACTCGTCCCTTTTTTTTTCAATAATCTCATAAATACAAGGAAAGCACATCCTAATGTGTTGCCATACATGTTAATTTAGTTCTGAAACACAGGCTACCTACTACAGATAGGTAGTCTAAATGGAGATTGTATGTGGATACAATGTATAAATTCTGTCAAACACACTTGAAAAATAGAGAACATCTTTATCTTCTGTAATTTGCTAGAGCCTTCTTGGAAGAATGCTCTTATCTTGGATCAATAGACCAGATTTCATTGCTAACACAATGTTTGCAGCACTTAGATTGAGCAATCAAGAACTCCAAAAGCAAGTATCAAAGTGCTAAACTAAACAGATTATTATATGCTAAATGCATTCATGCTCTGTGGATGGAGAGAAACCAGACAACATTTGAAGCCAAAAGAGTAGACACTGTGATTACATAGCCAAAGAAGTAGCTTTAATGTGTAATGCAAGGGAGGCTGAGGGCGTTCTCCAACAAATTCATTCAAAATTGATTATTTGCCCTCTGTTGGAGGTGTTCTAAAAATCTCTGCTATCGTCTATCGAGTACATAGCTCAACAAATAAATGGATTGGATTGACTTGGAAAATGAAAAAAATTGTACAAGTTATACGTTTCATCTGCTAGGCTTCACACTAGATTTTATCTAAGATGGCAAAGGGATGGCTTAAGTCAATTTGGGACAAGAGAGTTTGCAACTACTATTACAACTCATACAAACTTGAGGAAATCGACACTAGTGATATAAGTTACTAGCCTAGTGCTACTTTGAGCAGACTACAGTGCACATTGAGTACATACTAACTTTTACCAGCACATGAGAAGAAATCACCTAGCCATGTCTTAGATACTAGTTTTGCATCAAAAGAAACTGAAACACAATCACAAAATGATGCAGAACCATACGCAAAAAGGGGTGAAAAATCTTGATTTTAGAAAATTGGGTACAACTATCTAACAACTGAATTCTCTTACAAAAACACAAAAACTTGCAGTAATTTGCCCAGATAATCAAAACCAAATAAGAATGAACATTTACCACAAATTCATTTAAGCAATAGAAACTTTAGCACCAGCTTCTTCTAGCTGTTTCTTAGCATCTTCAGCCTCATCCTTGGAAACACCCTCCTTAAATTTCTTAGGCAATCCTTCAATCAATTCCTTAGCTTCTTTCAAAGCCAAACTTGTTAAAGCCCTAACAGCCTTAATAGTCGCAATTCTAGCATTACTCGGCACTTCATCGATGACTACGTCAAATTCCGTCTTCTCTTCAACCACAGCTGGAACATCTGCGGCTGCGCCACCAGGAGCGGCGACGACGGCAGCAGGAGCGAAGGATGCGGCTGAAACACCAAGCTTATCCTGAAGGTACTCAACGAGTTTCTGCGCATCAGCGAGAGTTAGAGTGGAGATTTCATCTCCGAGCTGTACTACCTTCTCCGGTGCTTCGACGGCGGCGAGAGGGCGGACGAAAGTTGCTCGGCGGTGGTGGAGTTTGGGAGTGCGATTGGGGAGTTCGAGGGTTTTGGTGGGGAAAGAAATTGAAGCGTGTGTGGAGCTGGCGGTTGAGGGAGAAATGTGAGAAGGGGAACGAAGGGTAATAGTGGATAATGTGGAAGCCATTGTAGCAGAGCAAAAGAGAAATTGAGGAGAGGAGAAGGAAGTGAAAGAGGTAGCAAGAAAAAATAGGATAAGGGGATTGAAAATTGTGTTGATAAGGTGTTATATAGGGTCTCATTTTTATTTTTTATTTTTTATTTTAATCCATTATTATACAAAATTTATTGGAGAAAAAGGGAATTTAGTGAGGGCCTGATTGACTTCCTTTAAGTTAATGTTTTGATAAACTAAAAAAATTATACTTATAAACACTTAAATTTAAACTAAAATGCTAAAAGTAAGTCAAACTAAACACCAATTCGAACAGGCTACTTTTTTTAAAACTGAGATAAACTAAAATAAATAAATATCTATAATAACCACTAATATTACTATTTTGTTGTAGTAATAACTAGTGAACTTATCCGCGCTTCGCGCGGTTATAAAAAACGATAAGATGTCGTTATGTATTTATCTAGACATATAATTGTTTTCATAGAGAAAATTATTTTGTTAGTAGTTAGATAACTTCCAATAAAGTCATAAGTTACTCTTTTGAACTAAAAAAAATATAATTAAAATTACGATAATATTTTTTTTTGTATAAAATAAAAAATAAAGAGAGATCTTAAAGAGAACTATCATATGAAATAAATGGTTAGTAGATATAAATGTGGGGTTATTTTAACAAAATATAAACTCGTGGATCAATTTTTGTATTAAAATATCTCAAATCATGATATGAAATTCCCATATAATTCCATATCATGGTTTTTGAAGAATATGGAATCATATTCATATCATGAGATGAGATCAGCGTAAATTGCATGTCCAAACGTTGATTCCATCTCACAATACCATATTGTGTTATGATATCGCATGCCTACTAAATAAATAAATAATACAACATCATTCTTA